GGTTCCCGGACATCACGGCATCCCGCTCCGATACCATCCTTTCCATCACGCAGCACGCCACGCACGTCATTGAGGCGGCTGTCGCCACCACCCTGTAGCGCCCAAGTAGCGCGATCAGCGGCGGAAGGCGCCGCCGCCGTGGCTGCACGGGCGCCGCCGTACAGTGAGGACGTGCCGTCGCCGCCAGCTGTGAGCCTTTTCGGCGACTTGGCGACTTCTCCAGCGACGGCAACAGCAGCGGTGTCGTACGACTGCCGGATACACCAGGCCGCCCTCCTCCCCCTCCTGGGGCAGCAGGTTCGACTACCCCCACCCCCCACCCCCATCTACTGGCCCCCCACACACCCCGCAGCAATCGACCACCTCCCTCCCAGCCCCCACCTGCCGTATCGTGTTATCGTCCGCGTGTGCTGTAAACCCCGCGATGCCCTCTGAGCCCGCGGGCACTGCCGTCACCGTCGTGGCGGCGGCGGCGTGGCGACGGCGGCGGCAGCGCTGACGTCATGGCTTGGTACTCCATCACCGACCGTCCCGAACCTGTGGCTTCAAAGGAGTACAAGTCATCGCCACCACCGCCGGCAGCGGCGGCGACGGCGGCGGTGCCGCCAGTAGCGTCGCCACCGGCGGAGCTGTAGCTGGCCTGTGCATTGCCGACGGAACCGGATTTTGGCGTGGACGAATCCGGTGTGCAACTGGGCTCCACGCCAGGCGGTGGCGGCGAAGGGGCTGTCGGTGGCGCCAATACTGCTTGTGGCGACCGCGTCCTGCCAGGTGCAACGCGGCGGCGGCGGCAGCGGTGCCGTCGGCGGCAGGTCCCGCCGTACTTGCCTCTGCTCGACGGCTTCGCGTTGGAATGCTTGAACTGGGGCCTGTTCCTAATGACTAATAGCTCCTGCTGCTGCTGCTGCTGCTGCTGCGCTAAGGCCTGCCGTTGCAGCTCTAAGGAAGTCGGTCGCTGTATCAATAGCTCTTGGCACTTCCGCCATCATGGTGAGCAGATGAGCTCGTGATGAGCAGATTACGTCAATCGCCCGCTGTGCTCGTAAGCAAAGATGAAGCAACAGCCTTCATGATAACTTGATATGTTGTTTGCAAGGGCTTGCACTTAGGGACCTTGCTTCCGGAAACGTAACCAGGGGCAGCGGAACGGGTGTTGGACGTGATAATGCAGTAACACGCAGTTATAATATAAAAATGGAGAAGGATAACTGTCGACAACGTCAGCTCGCCGATCTGCACCTTACCAACAACACCTGGATTTGCAGCTGTTGCGTCACTTTAACGGACGCCGTACAACCTAGCTGGGCCGCAAGCAGAGTCGGCAAATCCGATTTGCCAAATCGGCTTCTACGGTGGTGGCCATACTTTCGGTCAGTAAACGTAAAGCACTTTTTGGCGCCTTCTGGCACCGAAAAAGGGCAGCATTATATGCGCTGCTCGTTCCATACACATTGCAGGCCGGTCGTTTAAGGGCTCTGCAGGATAGCCACGTGGAACAAATCCCTGATATAAGAAGTTCAAAATTGACCAACTCAAGTGGCAGCTGCAAGCACAGACGCTAAAGTTGTGATAATTCATCAATGATAACTGTTGCATAATTGTGTAGAGGTGGTCGTGGCAGTTTTTTTACAAAGTCAAACACAGAGTTTAAGTCCAGCGCGCGGCCCTACATGCCGCAGTAGAGGCCGCAAGCAACGTCTTCTGGTCAAATGTTCGTCATTAGGGACCCGCAGCCGGGGCCTTAAGCCGAATTTTGGCTGCGGGTACTGTGGGGGCAAACTGCTGTCTTGCCTCCTTAAAATCATTCGTGCATGTAATCGACTGATTATCTTACGTGCTTGAGGCCTTTAAGAGTAAGGTCCGAGACCTTCTCTTAAGACAGTCTCCGCCACCCAGGATTTCATCCATGTCGTCCTCATGCTCTTCCGTACGCCGTCCAATCTTTCATTTTGAAACAGCCTTGATAGCTTGTGTCTACTTTGCAGGTAGGGCGCAAGGCGGCATGGTTCAGCGATTGCTAATAACGGCAAACTGTCACGACGGTTGTTGTCTTTTGGGAACCTTCATGGAATTGCACTTGCTATACTTATAAACATGTCAGCAAAACGCATCGGCACATTTCATGCCAACTAACGGACTTACCGTGCAGGATACACTCCGTCGTCGGACTACTGTTAAGCTCTAGGCTCGGTTGCCTAACGGTCAGATGCCGGTCCGTTCAGTTCTAACACTGTTGTTATTAACTAATACCTGTTTGTATCGGCTGTCGTTGATAACAGGTTAAACTAATACTGATATTAGTTCTTGGCGGCTTGCGACTACTGCTAGTCGAGTTCGCCATCCAATTGCCGCACTGCTGCGGAAGTCCATACCGGCGTATGGGCGGGGGCTTTACCTGCGTAAAGCTGGAACCTGCGTTCCTGGTTCGTATGCTTCACCGGGCGAGAGTAGTTCCTGTGAACTATGGTCAACCGAACATCGCACCGCCCAGTCGTACTGGGCACTTATCGGCGCGAGACCCAAGTGGTTGCTACAACGACTATTTATTCGTTCCACTTGTCTCAACCGGTATCTTTCGATACCACCATCTATGGTTGTGTCATCCAATTAAAAGAATCCAAAAAAGAAGCAAAAATAGGTGATAGCTAATCGTCCATCGGTGACCGCTCCCGTGAACATAGAAGGGGTGATGTACCCCAACAGGATCCCAACCTTTCCGTGGTACTCGCAGAGTTGCGAAACCCCGATGCCGGCCCCAAGAGTCAACAACTGCATAAATAAATAACTCGAGAGGAGCAAGTGCATTAGAGCGGGCAGAACTCCGGCAACAATCCGGAACAGCCCTCATTTTTCTGTACTCCACTACAAAAACGTACTTGAAGTAGAGGGGGTTTTGCACTCAAAATGGTGGTTTTGGACTGGAAACTAAGGGAACCTGTTAGCGCTCCAATAACTTTCCGGAGATAGTTCACAACTTTCCTGTGGAATCCCCCTGTTATACTCTCTGATACGCAAGCAGGATCGCTGTTGAGGCGGTGCAGGCGCTGGAAAACGGACATGCGGACTGGGGAGCAGGCTGCAAGAGAACGGGTGGACTGACAGCCGTGTATTGTTACAGACAACAGCAAATGCCGACCAAGTAATTCAGTTCCCTACAGATGTGTAATGGAAACGTTATTAGCAGAACCAATGTGGCCTACAGAGTGGATCCAAAATAAACTGCTGAGGCTAAAAGCTACACCGTTAGCATTCTAACGGTAACCGTTGCAGTCTTGCAGACCGCCAGTACTGCATACCAAGCTTCCTTCCCAAATAGACAAGCCGCTGTCACCTGCAGACTATTTTAACCTATTATCCATCCCTCAATGCATGATTCCTCCTCCCACTCTCCTCTACATGATCCTGTCGCCCGGTTTCGGCCCGCTCACGAAACGTCTCGCTGAAGATAAAGAAGGTATATACGCATGTCCAGCTACGCCGTCATTTATTTAAAATCTTCCTTTAAATATTAGAGATGATGTTGATAAGCCAATCCAAAGACCAGTCGCAGTCGCCGTAACGGTCGCGCACGAGGGCGCTGGGCCCCGTGCGCAACCGTATAAAAATTGGGGTATATATTTCTTGCCAGGTAAACAAATGAATTTTGGCGCAGACGTTGAGGAATGCCGCTAAGGCCTTATTGCGGAGAACCCTCCATCCAATTGCGGAAGACGCCTACTTGGTGGTTGCGAATACGCTGCAAGAACCAGGGAAGTGGTATATAACCAACGTGTTTAGCAATCGCAAGACAGTATGCTCATTTTGATCCTTTGAGCTTACCGAGGTGAAGTATTGCTTAAATTGGTTGTCATACTTCTGTGCAACCTTGCCACTGACTTGCTCATCATCATAGTAGCTCACATTGCTTGTCCTGTGTCAGAATACCAAGCAAGATTAAATAACTTTGCAAGTCGCTGACCAAACTTAGTTGTCATGGATTACGTTAGTGTTCACTCACTCGGGGTCAACCGCGGGGATTCGAGCGCACATGGTGAGGAATGCACAGCTCGCATAAGCCATGGGAATCGCCAGAACATAGGCCTGGAAGCAACCAGGCAGGAGGCACAGACGATTCAGAAGCGGAAGGTACGCCACTGGTCACAGAACGACCGGCCATTGCGCTAGTGAAAATGTTGCAACATTTACTGTAAGACGCGGTCATTTACTTACATCGAGTGGGAACTTGAACATCTTCGGTTGGCCTTGGTGAGGGGTTGTTAACTGTTGATATGGGGGCTTTGTCTCGCCGGCGTAGATATTCAAATGCAGCTTGTTCAATGAACTTAAAGATTATGACTTAGATATGTCCACCACAGCTTTTTATGTGCTTTGCTCTCCATGCCATCCCGTTGTACAGCGTACCGCAACCGTCCTGAGTTGTCCTTTGTCCCGGAACTTAGGCACCAGTCCAGCTTAATGCTGAAATCCAAGCACCAGCGCTGTCTTAGGACTTGCAATTTTTATCCAACAGCCACGATTTATCACATAGCTTTCGGAACAGGAGGATTAAAGGTACAGGTACAAGGACAGGTACACGGACACTGGCGGAAGGTAGGTCTTAGTCGCTTTTATATATTGTTAAGCCTCCTGTCGGGATTCGTTCGCGTTCATATGTATAATCATTTTCAAGTTGTTATTATGGGTATCGCTTTATAGCGTTCTAAGCCCTAGTTGATTGCATTGCACGCGCAGCAAGTGCTCAGCGTAAGCTTGGCATTATCCTAGCTTACAAACCATTTATTGTATTAGAATTAATTATAGCTAAATTTATAAATGTTTATGTGATTGACGGACAACCAGTATGCTATAATCCAGTATTCCTGGTTAAGTAATAATCTTAGTCATGTAGGGGTCGGACTGAAATGCTATAAATTTCCATGGAGAATAAATGGCGAGCAAAATCCCATATTTATAGCCTGGTGGGATGACACATATGAATTGGATGTTCCAACGGAGCGTTCCTTAGCCGTCAGGTAGCGCATCAGCGTGTGGTTTGTTTAGATGCTCTTTCGGATTCCCACAGATGCTGACTTGGACGTCTTCAGACTTCAGGTGTCTCGAGATGTCGATTTACTTCCGATTTACATAACCAGCATCGATACGCACCAACACCCCGGGCATGCCGTGCGGCATTGCAAACATACCCCACACTGCATGCCACATGAGTTTCTAGACAACCCTAATTTAGACGTCCCAGGAACGGATACTAGCTCCGACCCCGCCTAACCTCCTCTACTCCAGAAAAACTCTACAGCTCGCACAGCTTCCTCTTGAGGGGCACCGTAACGCACAGAATGGCCCGACTGTGGTCAGCCCTAGGAGGCTGCGACATCGCTGCCAGTCCCGGCTACCCGAAGTAAGTAATGGGATGTGGGCCTAACCCACCTAACCCCTGTGTGGGCACAACGGTCTCCCCGCGTAGCCCTCATCAGTAGCGCATCATCATGGATCCTAACACCTCAGTAACATGCAGAAGACACGGTTGGGTTGCACATGACCTATTGCACATATGAACAACCTCATGCCCACCTCCGTCACGCTCCTCTGGACCTAACCCGCTCACAACACCTCACGTGTTCTTGGGAACGCCTTCCCCCGGCAGGCACGCACGTCCACACACTCCACACAGACTCGACTCAGATCATTAGAATGTACATACACACAGTCACCTCTCTCCACCTCTTCCATAACAACCCCCACCCCGCCCCACCCCCGGTTCTGTGCACAAAGCGAGGGGAACTAAGGGGAGGCCCCCCCGAGGTTGCCCCGCCAGAAACCACAATCCATCTCTTTCCAGGAGAGCTCCTTACGGAGCCACGCCACCAACGATCGATAAGCACAGATGCATGTAACGCTCAGCCCTCATTCAGCTGTGGAAACGCCGCATCGTCTGGAGAGAGCATCCTGTTGATGGCAGCGAAGACAGCAGCTCCTCTCAACTTGTGCCCAACTTCTACTTTTGAAGCACCCAAGGAATGGGAGACGCCCCAGGACCCCCAGGACCCTCGTAATGCGTCCCCACCTCCGACCTCCGACAAGCAACTTCCAGCAAGATGCAACTTACAATCAGTCAAGAGCACTCCTATGCACGACGCACACGTAGGAGCGGTCAGGCCCCGTCAGCACAATCCCTCCGCTTCCCTCCCCTCCCCTCCCTCATTTCTTCTTCTTGGCATCCGCCTGCGCATGGAACGCCTTGGCCTTCTCCTTCTTCAGCCGCTCCTTCTCCGCCTTGGTCATCTGCAACCGCGAGGCCGCGGGGCGGCAGACCGAAGCCATGCGGACAAAGCAAATTGGTTCAAAACAACACTAGCGCAAAATGCGGCGCACGTGGCCACTTCTTTCCTAACCACACATGATTGTACGCAGGTACCTCTCAAACAACAAAACTGTTCGTGACCACCTGACCCCCACGAGGACCTAGAATCGGACAGAGACGGCATAGAGTCATAAGTCCGGAAGCGTCTTGAACTCGGAAGAACTTCTTTTTATTCATAGCCTGGGCAGCCATCCCGGGCAGCCCAGGTGCCCAAGACCATTCCGAAGCACCGCCCTGTTTAGGTCGCCCCTAGGCGCCCAGACCTTGTCTTGGACGTTATCCCCCCCTTGTGTGCGACCCCCCATGAGCGACCGGGCCCACCGTTCCGTCTTACCTTGGACTTGGCCTTGATGTTGTCCTTCTCAATCTCCTTCACCTTGGCCTCCTTCTCCTGCATCTTGACTGCCTCATCCCTGCAACCCCAAGCCCAAACACACAAACACACACACACACGGTGCCCACAAGGGGGGCGAACCTCCTGGTCAGTAACCTCCCTCAGCAACCAGAAAGGCACACACATGATCAGGCGCATCTTATGAAGGAGAAACTCTCGAAAGAGGGATCAAACGTAAACTGGCATGAACCCGCTTTTATAATAGATTGTAAGGTTAGGGGGGTGAACCCATGGCCTGGAATTTATAACCAGTACCATGGTAAGAAAGGATCTAGGGAGGTGGCTTCTGCCTGTACCAACTCAGGTCACAAGCGGCGGGTCACACTCTTTTCCCCCAGCATTAGCTAATGCCCCCTGAAGCTCACTGCCGTAGGCCGACTCCCTTCCCGCTCTGTCCGCCTGCCTGTCTTGCCGGCGGCCCCCTCCCCCTGGCGGCACCATTCGCCCGAGCCCACCTGCCCTGGGGGGACCCCACGGCACTCACTCGTTTTTAGACAGGTAGTACTCGTAGTCGCCCTGGTAGTCCTGCAGCTTGCGGCCCTCCACCAGCAGCACCCGGGTGGCGATTTGCCGCAGGAAGTACCTGAGCACCCCGGCCGGGTAGGGCCCGGACAGGTAGTAGGGTGTGTAGGAAGGTTGGTGGGAAAGGGAGGAACGAGGCGACCACATGGACGAAAACACGCACACAGAGACACATGGGTATGCCATCCGGGCCACTTCCCTCCCCGCGGCGCAATTCATTAAAACACGCTCACAAACAGGCAGCGGAAGCGGAACTGCGCAGGCAGGCAGAAGCTAGCACGGCCTGGCCCAGGCCTCCGTCCCGTCCTCCCCGTCCGGTCCGCCGCCCCAGCGCCCCCATGCGGCCCATGTGGGGTTATCCACCTCAGGACCCACCCCACCCACCCACCTGTCGTGGCTGACCGCAATCACTGCCCCCTGGAACTCCCGAATGGCCTCCTCCAGCATCTCCTTCGAGGGGATGTCCAGGTGGTTGGTGGGCTCGTCCAGCACCAGCAGGGTGCCCCGGGTGCACATGAACTTGGCCAGAGCCAGACGGGCCTTCTCACCGCCACTCAGCACACGA